GTGATGAACTATGGCATTCATATAGGGAAATCTATATAGATTAGCCTTTCTGCTCAAAGGCTAGATCCTGCTAAATCCATATTGGCCTTAATATATTCTTTTGCACTGAAGAAAAGACTGAAGAAAATTTGAATCTGCAATGCAGAAATGGTTCCTTCTTGCCACACATTCAATAACAAACTGCAGTTTTCTCCAACAGATGGTAAAAGATTCTTTTAAATGATAACGTTCCTTGGTGGCTGTGAGCATACTGACATAAATGCCAAGGAGTTCACTGTTTCTGTTCTCATCCTGTACTCTGTAAAGTTAAGACTCTGATGCTTCAGAAGTTTCATTCAGGTTCCTGTGTAGTTATTAGGAATATTTCCATTATTTCCAGTAGGCGTTGAAACATGCAGGCTACTCCTGCTTGGAAGTAGCTAAGAAAATTCTGGCATTCTTCCATCACCTCTCCCACTTTTTTCAGCTAGACATCATCTTCTGCTTCTTGGGGCCTCTTACTGTTTTTCCCTTTCTCTTAAATGTGTGTTTGTGTCCCTTTCAGACACAAATTCAGGCTGCCTGAATATTTGCAATATGTGGGAAAATGCCATATTGTCACACAGTCTTCAGCAATAAGCTCATTTCTGACCTCTACTCACTAACTAATTAGCGATTTGCAATGAATAATCCTGAGTTGTGGTTGCAGCTACTCAAAAAATAAGGTCCTAAGGACTGTGACCAAAGGCGGCAGCATTGGCGGGTAGGGGTGAGGAAACGTGTCCTTGTTCCTGTGCTCTTAGGTATCCCTCTAGTGGATATGAGAAGAACGGCGTGGGTAGAGGGAGACCCAGCCACAAAGCCACGTGTTGTGATTGACGTCAGTGAAGGAGTGACCACAGGAGTCTGTGCCAACCCTGCCACCAGAGGGTCTGTCCCCAAAGCACTGCCCACTGCAGGGCAGCTCACCAACGTGTGGCCTCATGCTGGATGAGTGCCTCTGCCCATAAGAAGTTGGCTGGCTGTGGCAGGTTTCCCATGAAAAATAAAAAGATTCCCATGAGCTGAAATCCTGCAAAACTGGTGTTGGCAGCAGTAAAAGTGCATTTGCTGCCCAGAAGTTTTGAGCCATAGTGATGATTTGAGAAACAGCCTGGAAGAGGAAATTCAGGAGAAATGTGTTAGTTCCTTCCACAAATTAAAAAAAAAAACCCTAGCCTGCTTTGTCCAATGACAAATTGTGTCACAGAGCTAAAGCTATCACAGAGGGTATTTCAGAGTCTTGCCTTTCAAAGAGAGATGGTTGCACCCAAGAATAGTGGAGGTGGGGACAACAAAATGAGCAAAATACTGCTGGCAATCAAAAGGTCAATTTGAAGAGCAGGAAGTTATCTATCAGCTGTCACATGGATAACATGTGAGTTGAAGCAGTCTCACCATGGAAAATTAACAGCATTTTTTGGGGAGGCCACTCTCTTTCATGCTGATTCGCCTCTTTGATTAACTCTGCTGACACAATGAAAAGGCACATGGATCTTTTTTTTTTGCAAGACTTGTCAACAGAAAGTGCAGATGAAAACCTGGCTGTCAGTTCTCCCTCTTGTCCCTGTCAGCTGCTGGCCCTTTGTTTGGGGTAGTTTGATGTGACCATTGCTTCAGTAAAGCAATGTAAATCCTGCTGAGAGGATTTTCCATCTCTGACAAGACATATTGTTCAACATGTAATCCTGATTTTTACATTTGTCATGAGACTATTACATGAGACTATAGTAAAGATCTGATCTGCTAACCCCTGCTTTAAATGTTCACAAACTCAGGGTCCTTATCACAGTGGGACCTCCATGTCCTGGAGAAGAAACTACTATTTTCTAAGTTGAAATTAAACTAAAAGAACATACTGGCCATATATATGCCAGGACCAGAGTGCTTTTCCAGCACTCTGAAATCATCAAACTGCTGATGAAGTTAAAATTTTGGTATGTTTCCTTACATGTAGATAACCTCAAGTGATGTCCCTGTTTAGTATAACTGCCCAGGATTAGCTTAATACTTCAAGAAAGTAAAAAGTTTAACTGAAACTTTAGGCAATGGTAACACCTAAAATACAAGAAATAATATATTTTAATCAATTTCTGACAGTGATGGAATTTTTCCTTTTTCTTTTTTTCCCATTAGGATGACTTCATTTCAGTCTTCTGACAGGCTGAAAGACAGGAAAATGCTCTGTCCATAGTGAATTGTGGAAAGCTAGTCCTTTTCCATCCAGGCACAGACAGCATTGTAGAGCTGAATATTTTATTTGGAGGCATTGGCTCAACCACACTCTGTGCAAGAAAGTCCCGTAAGACTTCCTTATGGGAAGGTACTGGATATTTTAATGTATTTTACCAAAATGTAGGAATCATAGAGGGAAGCATGGGATTTGCTTGACTGTGCCAGTAGAGATCCCATCATCAGCCGCTCACAATGTGTTTGACCTGTGCTCTCTAACAACAGATTAGCTCTTGATATAACTTCTACTGATTCATTTATACTTCTCACATACTTCACAGTGTCTTTAGCTTCCTGTTACTTATAAAGAAGGGTGTGTTCACTTTAGTCTGGTGTTTATTTTTACCTGGCAATGGAAAGATCACATGCTGAATGAAGGCTGTAGACTGACAATGGAGGAAATATTTTTCCCTCCACCAGGTCTGGGTAGAAAAGTAGAATATAGAAGAACTCTGCTTGTCAGCTTTCTTTTCAGATTCTATCTGGAACTGTTATAATGAGTATTTTGCCCTTCTAACTTTTCATTCTTAAGCCTCTGCTAATTGTAACATGAAGCTGCTGATACATTTGACACTGTGAGCAATCTTTTATATTTTTGTAGATTTCCTGGTATTTCAGGGTGCAGATGCACTCCTTACCCTCAAGGTGTTGTGCAGATCAGGCTGTTCTGACACAGCTCAGACAGGGACACAGCTTTCAGAGATGCAAGAGCTCAGCAGAATTTAGTTAAACTGTCCAGTGGCCCTCAGGACAAATAAATGAAATAACCTACTGCAGCATCTCTGTGATTGTTCAAGCCTGAAAGATCTATTTGCAAAGCTACAGTATGAAAAGGAGAGGTGATTAGCATGTGGAAAAGTTTGTTTGTTGGAAGACTTCAAATTAAAAAAAATTAAATTTCATAATGAATTTTCATCCTTTTTTGTTTGTTTTGTTGCGAAGTTTAAAAACTTTTAAATTAAATTTGTGCTGCTTCTTAGCAATTTTCCACTAAAAACTATCAACATCAGCCAAGAATTTGTTTTTTGTCCTGTAAAAGATTAAAAATATATTTTTTACAGCATACTCTTTACTCAGTAAAAGCCCACCAAAACATAAATGTTGAAATGTTGGAACATTTTCATAGTCCCCAATAATAGTCTGTTTTAAGTTAATGTGAACTATCAGCAGTTCAACAACAAAGAGCACCAAAGATGTATTTTTATTAAGTAGGTCTGAAATTATTTCAATTACAGGCTGATTTTGAAATAATAAGAGGGGATTGATGATGAGAACTTAAATAGCAAAAAAATGGAAGAAAACATTTTTCAGTCTAGTCAACATTGGCCAGAATAGTAATTTACCTGTCTCTTTAGCAAGATGGGCAAGAAGGAATTAGAATGATTCCTGACTGTATTCCTGACTTCAGATGCATTTTCTCTGAAGTAAACAGTATGATATGTGATTGTTTGAAGCAGTGGTGATGCTGAAGTCTGCAAAGGTATAGCTTGCTTCTCTTTTTTTGGCTTATTCACCTCAATTCTGTCAATCTTCTCCATATAGGTTCTGGCCTCTGATGATTTTTTTTCTGCTCTGCTTTTCACTATTTCCAACTGTTCCCAATCAAATATCATGTCACCCTTTAGTGGCTTCAGTTCTGATTCCTGTTACTCCTGCATGAACACATGTTTCAGGAATAACCACCAGGCCAATATTGTCACACTCAAGGACAGCATAAAGTTGAAGGTAAAGCAGAGCATTTGTATCCTGCACTTTTATGCTGTGCTGACAGATTCCTCTCTCTTTAAAGAAAATGGTAAAAAAGTGGGTAGAAATTGGTAGAAAAAGTGTTACTGATGGAAAGAGGTCAAAAAAGGAAGAGGAATAGGAAATTTGTATTTTCTCTCACAGAGTGATTTAGAAGGAAAGGTAATCCTGCTGTAGCTGAAGAGCTGTAACCTCCTAAAGAAGGAAAAACCATGAGATATTAAATTGATACTGATTGAATAATTTTCTCTTAATAAACACAGGAGGTTTAAATAAATAAAGGAGGTGTAAGCCTGAGATTCAAAGAAACAAAAAAAAAAGAAAGTATTTTTCTTCTCTGACGAAACTCTTTCTGTGCCTTGTACACACACACATAGTCAAATATAAATTCCCTTGTAGTTCACTTGAAACCCAATTTATTTTTTCCTGTAATTATTTACGTAACAGGTGAATTGCATATGGGAGGGCAGGAACATTTTTCATGGGAACAAACAGGGTGGTTGTTATTCCAAGAATGGAAGATAAAGAAATGGCTGTGTACCTGTCTACTCAGAATGCACCAGATGTACAGTTAAAACAAAGTATTAATGGTGGGTTCAATGCACATATGGGCCATTCACTTAAGAGTTGGACTCAATGATCCCTTCCAACTCACAATACCCTGTGGTTCTGTCATACTTGTTTCTTACCTTTCTAAATAACCTTAAAGCTGAACCACATGACCAGGAGTTGCTTTCAGCCTCTTCTGCTTCTCTTGAAACCCTCTAATGGTGTTCCCAATTCAGATTAATTTATCTTTTATGAAAATAAGTGGCCTGAGTGCTGCTGCAGCAGAATGGAACAGCAGGTCTTGTGCTGTTGGTATTACACAAGGCAGTACAGACAAAATGAGCAGTGTTATTATGGGATGAACAAAGGGTATCTTGGATAGATAATATGACTGTAATCTTATTGAGCAAAGACTAATTCTGTCTTACATATATTGGTCAAATCCTCCTAAAATTAGTGACAATCATTACAATCCTCTACAATCTCTTTTATTGCAATAATGAGTGTCTTCTCCTTGAGAAAGTGAGTATCTGACAAGTTGCATTGCTTGCATGACTAGTGACATTGATGATGATGGGGTCAGAATTGTGTGTAAATAATGATAAATTAATATGGAAATAATAATAACATATGAATGGTATGAAGTTTCAGGGGAAAAAAGCTAACAGGTCCTAGTTAACATTAGAGTTGGATTGTAGGCCTGTAGCAAACAACAGTTTCAAAGAATATATGTTAATTTCTACATGTTTAGTATTAGCTTTTATAGTTCATTGCTGGCTTGCATTTTTTAAGCTTTTCTTTTTGTCAGCCTGACGAGTTAAAGCTCTATTTACATCTTTGGAAGCACTGTCAGAGGAGGTATTTCCAAAATGCAATGTCAGTATTTTAATGACACTGACTGTGTGCTGTAAACAATCCCTTGGTTCCATTTGGCTTGCTGTTTTAGTGCATGCTTTATCTCCAGCTGCAGATGCAACATGCAGTTCTATATAGGGATTATCATATCTGGCATCAGATAATCAAACTAGTTTACAGAGCTGTTTTTACATTTCCAGTATTCTTTTAAAGACTAGATTGTGCTTTCATTGGCATTTTTAGTTGTTTGAAATTTTTTTGTTTGTTTGTTCCTATAGCAACTGTTTTTCTGCCCTGGAGTCTTAACCTGATAGCTTTTAATACACAGTTAGTCATAGAAAATAGACAATTTTAATATGTATCTTGATAGGTAAAATTCTGGATGTTCACTTTTGCAGGAATTGGTGGCTTCAGCTTTAAACCTCAAGTCCAAAACAATTATGTGTGCCATGTGAAACATGTTGGTGGAGCATTTGGGGGGAAGGTACTAAACCATCACTCTTTGTTGTAATTGCAGCTGTGGCAGCCAACAAGTAAGTTGATTTAACTAAATCAAAGGAGTGATTTAACTAAACTTAATTAAAGATGACAAGACTAAATGAAAAAGGAACTTCAGTCCTGAACCCTCCTTGGAGGGTTATCCTGGTGACATCATCTTTTTATCTCTTTGGCAGTAAATCTTGGATAGAGGCGTGAAAATTCTCTGGCCTCCTGGCGATGGTATTCACTTACTGTCTGAAAGCCAGAACAAAGCCATGGAGGCAGTTTTCCTCTGGTCTGATCTGTATAAATCCCAACAATTTAGGCCTCTTTGAGGCATGATGGCATGAATTTCATTCCACATATTCAGTGAAAATGGTTTTTATCCTGATACATAGGTATGCTCATCAGCCCTTTGTGCCACAGCTCTCCTGTACTTTGACTGCCTTGCCCTTCCCTGTCCTGTCCGTTCTCCAGGGAATTTGCATCCCCCTGTTGAGAAGCTAGAGAGAAAACTACTGAAAAGCTCATTTTCTCTCCTTTGTTGTTGTTGCCAAAAAAAAAAAAAAACCACCACCCAAAAAAGCCCACAAGAAGAACTTGCTGAATCAGCCTAACCTCAGGCATGGTAGGTTAATAAGAAACTAAAACATAGAATGGGCTGATTTATTGGCACCAGTAGGAGTTTGGCCATGTACACGTAATGTCATTTGCAATCTGCATTAAGAGGCTGTAATAAAAGGGGATTTTTCTAATGTTCCTTTTAGGAGCGGGTGTCCACTCCATTTTACCTTGGAAAGAAATATAGATGTGTTAATCACTGGTGGACAGCACCAGTGATTGGAAAATAAAAAGTGAGTGATATGAGATAAGGTGTTTTGCCCAGTTACTGGGTAATAGCCTCTTCTGAGGCAAATCAGCATAATTTCATTGACTGTCAAGACTCAGCAGGAAACCCAAGTTTTCTTCTGAAATCCCAACCCAGCACCAACCTTCCCCAGTCCTAAGAGTATCCTGATGAATTCCATGAATCAAAACAAAAGCTGTCATCCTAGAGCCCATGCAATATCCAGAAAAAGCAGAACCATCCCTCCCTTTTTTTTACTTTGGAATACTGCTGACATCCTAACTGCCCTATCTCATCTGCAGATGATAAATATGTAACTCAGAATTGAATATGAACCACTTCTCAGACATAAAGCCAGCTCTGCAAGGTAATGCAAGATCCAACTTGCAGTAAACTCTTACTTTTGACTTCTAAATCCTCACATTAGAAATAAGCAGGTAAACAGTGCCAGCACTGAAATCTTGGTATGTGCGTGGTAAGTGGTGGTGGCAGGTGTATGAATTGAGCACCCTAAAATCCTCTGGGACAGGGTTTATGGTTCAATATGGTTTGGATAAAGAAGACCTGGGGAGTTGGCTTTTCTGTGGACTCTTGCATGAGTGGTAGCGTTTGGCTGATGACTATTTCTGGGAGAAATTGCTTATATTTTTAATTTTGCTGAAGATATTGCTCACAAAGATATTGTTCAACTCTGGTTATGATTAGAATAGGTTTAGAACAGGTTTGGGAACAGAGGAAAATTCCATTTTTGGTTAAGTCTTGTATTAAGTATAAGACAAGGAATAGGACTGTGATTGGCATATGTCAGTAGCATACGTGTTTCATATTCTTCTGGGTATCCATTACCTGACTATTAGCCTGACAGTGAGGAAGTGCAGTACAGTACCAGCTCTGGCTGGTTTTCACATACCATATCTTCTCTCTCACACAGATGGAACACGTAACCCACAAGTAGTGGACTATGCCCTTTTATTCAAATTTCTTCCAGAGTCACTGAAGTTATTTGGATAACCACTGATGTGCTTTGCCTCTGCTTTCTTCAAAATGAGATGACAAGAAAATGCACCCTCACCCTTGAGTTCTCTGTGTCTTTCAGAGTAATGCCTTCAATCTGCTCTTCCATGTCTTGTGCTTCCCTCACTCCAGGGGTTGGCAGGACAGAGCAGTAGCCTGCTGCAGAGTACTTATTTCTGTACAATGAGGCAGGAGCCAACTTCCCTTCCCATATCAGTCCTAGCCAACAATGATTACACAAGCGTTTCTGCAGAAAGCAGGGCAAGATGGCCATGATGACATTGTTTCCTGACAATAGCCACCTCACAGGTTTTCCATTGCACTCATCCTTTGGCACTGTACAAGGAGATACATCTGGAGTTGCTTAATAACTTGTCACAGGGCCCAAATTTTTGTTTATAAGTTAAACAGGAAAAAAAAAAGGAATAAAAAAATTGAAGTAGTAAAGCACAGTAGCAATTATGAAATAAAGAGCAAGATTTTACCAGCCATTCTCTCATCAATACATATCCAGTCAGAAAACAAACTAAAAAAACACTCTGGGAGACTGGAAAATAGGAAATGTCTGATGAAACTGTGTCAAGGTCCATTAATTAAAGCTTTCAATTTAAAAAGCCCCATGGGCCTAAGTTTAAACAAATCTGTTGTGCTCTAGGCTGAAAATGTCTCCATGAAAAAAGGACACAAATCACATCAGGCAGACCTGCAGGTCCCTCTCTTCTAATAGCAGCCAGCTAGAGACTCCTACCTCAACCTGCCTTAGGAATTGGGGTCGGGAATTCTGCATCCATCCACTTCTGCTTCCTTCCATGCAGTATATCCAGCAGTCAAAGTGTTTCTCAGTGGTAGAACTTCTCATACTCATAGAAGTCATAACCAAGGTCAAGAACCTTCATGAGCTGTGTTGTGCAAAAAACTTGTTAACAACTTAGAATTTAAATAAAGATGAATTTGCTATTCAGTCACCAGGAGATGATGTACAATCTCCAGGAATGCACCAAGAACTGTAGGCTTTCTTTGCAAACATCATGGCCCCCACAATTCAATGCAGTCTCATTCAACTGTATTGCATAGTGGAACCTTGTATGTCAGTTCCTGTAATGTGAGCTTCTCAGGCTGAGAGCTCTCCTCTGCTATGGAGGTATGAGCTTAATTACCTGTTCAATTACAAGAAGGCCACTGTTCACTAGAGGTAAGTTGGTTGATTTCCCAACCTTTTGTAACTTGAGAAAATTGAGATATGTGTGTGCAATGACATTTGTGTGGCTGATAAGGAACATGCATTTGTGAAATACAGTAAGGGGGTTTTTTTCCTTAGCAAAATTATTTTATGTATTATTTTGGTTTCCTAAAGACAAACCTGCAACCTGTAAACCATGGGCTTAGATTATAGATTAGTTCTGCTGTCCTAAAGATCAGAAAACCAGATGACTCCTTTACAGCCACTTACTGACTGCAAGCATTCCTGCAAGACAGAATTAGAACTGTCATACACATACACACACATATATATATGAGACACCATCTTGGTAGAACAAGATATAAGCACCAGTTCTCTTGTCCTGCCAAGGAAAAGACCTGTCATTAATGTGTTTCATGCTACACTGGAACAGTTCTGGAGTTACCTCAAGAGCTTGAAACAATTTGCATGCAATTTTGTAAGTACCTGCAACAAAGAGCAGATCACAAGTAGTACCATTTTGTCACTTCTACATCCAGTTTGAGAGTAAGAACTGTTATCTGATTTTTTTCTGTTCTTCAGCATATGGAAAATCCCAAGGATCAGAATGAGAAATGTACAAATTAATGATGGGTGATGTATCAATATTTCAGTAAAACAGAGATTCTAAAAGTACATACTGCCAAGTATTTCTAGGCACAGATATATTACCACCCAAGTAACACACCAGTTTAGCTCTGCTTCCTGGCAGCCCACCTCAGGCCTGCTCCACATCATCAGGTCTCTCTGAACCACTAACTCTGGCCTCTCCCAGAGGTGGAATATAATCACTGCTATTCACTGCCTTGTCACCACTCACTTCTCCTCTGCCTTACCCACAGTTTTGCCCCTTCTTTTCAGCAAAATGCTGAAGCAGGACCAAGTTGATGCATTCATCCCAGATGAGGAGAGGGCACGAGGTGGGGAAGTGGCACTGGAGGTAGGAAGGGTTAAGAGCAGGACAGGATCCCAGTACCAGCTGTTTTCCTAACAGAGGTGAGGTTGCCCATAGCAACCATCAGCAGAGCAGATGTGCAGCAGGTGACCAAGAGGGAAAGGTGGAGAGGAGGGCTGAGAGGGGAACCATGACAACACGAGTTCATTATAGGTGTGGCAGCTCAGCTGTGCCAAACAACTGGCACTCTGACAGACACTTCTTTGGAAAGGAGGTTTTAAAGTGATCCAGTGGCAGCTGTATGAATCTTGATGGAACATTTCCCTATGAGGAGAGCAGTCTGGAAAACAAATGTAAAGGTATTTGAGAGGGAGAAAAGGAAATACCTGAGCTGAGCCAGTGTAGATATACATACAAATCAATATTCAGCTTTGATAGCTGATAATTCAAAGCCATAAAATTAACAGTGAGATCACATTTAACAACATCATTCTGTAACCAAACACTAGCATAAGAAACAACTCTGGAGATGTTCAACAGGTATTGCATTAGTTCAGATCCTGAGCTTATTTACATGAACACAAATTTATTTTCATTTATTTCACCGATGACAGTGCAGGCTTAAATTAGCATAGTATATAAAGGAGGGTGACCTGCACACACCCTCACATAAGTCACATTTAATCTAAGTCTGTAGAGATAAAAAAAGATCTTATTCCTTTACATCAGTAAAATTTTCCTGTTCCTTTCTCTTGGTAAAGTGTGAGAAACTACAGCTAATGGGAAAAGCTCAGCTGGTGATGAGCTTTGTAGTTTTGTCATATCAAAGATTTTAGGGAGCTGACAACAGGAATTATTATATCTTTGTGTTTCCTTTCCTTAAAATGTGGTTTTAATAATTCCTGATTTTTCTTCTTAGCTTTTTAATTGATTTAGACAAATGCTCTCATTTTAGAATGAGCACCAATGTAATCAGTGCCTTGGGTTTAGAATTAATGGACAAATATTTGCTAATATTAAGGTGAAAATTCTTCCTCTGAATGTGGTATTTTTGAAGTTAGTATTTTGGGAATTTCATCAAGCTGTTAACTGGAATCTGCAAAAATGTTTCTTGAATAAAACTTGTAAGGCACTGTACTGCTATTTCATGGCACTGGGATCTATCACCAGTATTGTTTCAAGGATAAGATAGTAACAAAAACTGGTATGAGATGAAATCTGGCTCCTATTGACAATAAGAATGATCATGTTTTCCCTACTGCAGCCCAGTGATTTGTTCCATTTATACACCTGGTAACTGGTCATTTCAAGAGTTTCAGTCACAGCAACACTGCACTTAAATCTGATGGAAATTTGCAGCTGCATACAGTCTAGAAAGAAGCTTGTGTTCTCTAAGTTGGTTTGGGGGTTTGGCCTTTTGGGGAGCAAAGAACTGGGCTGCAATTGCACCTCCCGTCCTACACCAGCACAGAGAGTATTCCCCATGTTGTCCCCAGCTCTGTGCTGCTGTGTTTTTGGCAGCTATCTTTTTTACATAGTACTTAAAGGACCTCCACTAGCACAGTGGATGTGTTTATGCTGTCTGCTAACAGGCAGACTGCCTAGGTCCTGAAGGTATGCTGAGATCTGTTGAGGTGATTGCTAGTGAAAGAACCCGTGTTTAAACGCAGTAGAGAAGGCCTGTGCTTCTGGAGCCTAGGGCCTTTGCTGTGTGTTCGACAGGCACAGCTGGTAACACACAGTCCTGTCTGCACATACCACAGCACGTCAAGTGCTTGTTACCACCAGGATCTGAAAGAAGAAATGATTACAACTGCAAAGCAAATCTAGGGTCAAGCAGCACAGCAGGTATTGAAGACCGATGTGCCGCAGGTCCCGGTGCTGCCACCGGACTTATCACCGCAGACCAGGCCAGAGCGGAGGTGTCCCTGTGGTGCCGGGCTGGCTCCGCCGCAGGGAGCGCGGGGGGCACCAGGCGCTGGGTCCCGGTAACCCCGGGGCAGGGCGCGGCCGGGAAGCCCCTCCGGCGGGGCAGAGACCCCCAGGAGCCAGCAGCACGTGCGGCCCCCAGAGAGCCCGCCCCGTTCCCCGCCCCTTCCCTCCATCCTCTCGGGCGGGGCGGGGCGGAGCGCGGCCCTCCCCTCTTCCTCTGGCGTCGGTTCCGCTCGCAGAGCTCTCGCTGCCGCTGCTCCTCGCTGCTGTTCCTGCCCGTCTCCGCTCCGGGCCGCTCGGGCATTTTCTCTCTGCCTTAAAGTCGGTGAGGAGACGGGCGCGGGTGGCGGCCGGCCGGCTGGGGCCGGCTGCGGCAGCCTGGGCCGTAAGGGCCGCACCGCGGCGCGCTGCGGTGGAGGCCGGGGGAGGGAGGTGGTGTAACCCCTTCTTCCTCCCGTCCTCGGGTGCCCGGGAGCGGGGCAGCGTTGTCGGCAGCGAAGGCACCATCAGGTCGGGCCGTACGGCGGGGCCGAGGGGCGAGAGGCGCGGGCACGGCCACGGGCACAGGCACTGGCACCGCGCGGGCCCCGGCTCCGCCCTGCGGCCGCCTCCGCCCGGGGAGCCCGGTGCGTGCCGGGAGCCGGGCGGGGGCCGGCACCGCCCGCAGCCGCCCAGCGCCGCGGGAGCTGGAAGGAGGAGCGGCCCCTGCCCGCAGCGTCCTCACGGGTGTCTCTGCTTCCTCGTAGGGTGTCTTTTATGAATAATCAAAAGCCGCAGAAGCCGACACTATCGGGCCAGCGTTTTAAAACCAGAAAGAGAGGTGAGTTACCGCACCGTGCCCGCTGCCAGGACCGGCTGCCAGCGCTGTTTACGGTAAAACTTCGGTTTCTGTCAGTAAGCAAACCAGTGCTTTCATGCGTTCACCATAAATTTTTTACATGAGACCATGCTAAGTGCAGAATCTTGAGGCTGACTGGAATTTTCTCTGCATTAATAAAAAAAAATCTGGCCGTCAGAATTATCGCTGAATTTACTGTAATAACCTTTGCCTAAAAGATGGTCATTCTAGAACTGTCCTGAGTGTGTAGCCTGCAAGCAGAAGGATCTTGTACCCCTGAATTACAGGGGAGCTCCAGCACAGGCTTGTTGCAGGTTAATATATACATCTAAGGAGCATCTAACATAGTAAGAATTTCAGTCTTAGCCATTAGATAAAAGTTAGATTGTCCTCTTTTAAATTTTTTTTAAACTGACAGAAAAAACCCACAACAAAATCCCACAAATCCACCCACCCCCCTATCCCCAGGCAACATCCAAAAAACTTCCAAAGTATGGGATATGCAAAGGCCTATCTCTCTGCATGCACAGTTACTTCCGTAAGTTGTGTTAGTGACTGAAGGGGTGTGATGAGTAACTTGGTATTTTGGTGGAACTTTTTTCAGCCTGAAGAAGAAGTGGGGATGCTCTTAGAATTTCTGTTCAGTACAGTTTTACTTGTATACCAGCAGTATTCCAGCTGTAACAGGAATATAGCTTTAGGCATGCTGTATATGCAGAAGCATGCATGGATTTATAGAACCTGTTTGACTGTCAGAGCCCCTCAAAAATCTCTTGAATATTAGAGTTTGCTGTGGTCTGTCCAGCAGGTGTAATGCCAGCAGCCAGGGATTTAGTCTCTTTTTAAGCATTTAACCATAGTTTGGCTGTGAAGCAACTCTTCTGGAACAGTGAGCTCTGTGGTTCTGCCCTGGAAAATAACTGATCCAGTATTTCCAAACTGGTACCCAGCTTTTACCAGTGTGTTGATAGTTGCATTGACACTGGACACTGGTATGCCCTACTAGGCTGCTAACAGAATTGGTTAAGATGTTGTAGACAGCACTCAAAGTAAGATCTGCCATTGAGTTCTTTTATCTTTAGAAGCTTTTAATCTTACAATTTCCATAATCTAAAGACAAACTGAGATGAGGAAAAATTGAAGATCTCTTTAAGACTTCCTGTTAATTACATGGGTGGCTTTGTTGCATGTTGATTATGCCCTGCCTGTAGTAAAAACAAGGCAATGATCAGCCGATGTGTCAGGTATGAAGATACGTCAGGAGTGTTCTGCTTAACAACAGCAAAGGATGCTAAATAGCTCTGCAGTTAAGGCCATTAAGTTAGCTGTATGTCTACATTTCCCCCAAGCACCTGAGGAAAAGTTACTGCCTCAAACTCACCTAGCTGCAGGTTAACATGAGGGGATGGTCTTCATAGCCAAAAAGCAAATTTCCAGGTGACTCGGATGCAGTAATGGTATGCAGTTTGACAGTCAGGAGATTTAATCTGAAACAGAGAGAGGCCCAAAAAGCTGAGATAAAACATGAGTAGTGGAGTCTAATGTACGGAATTATAGGAGCATGTATTAAAAATTGTCTTCCAGCATGAGCTAAGTCTCTGGTTTTGGAGGGAAAGAGTGATCTAACATGAGAATAGGAGTATAAGAATCAAACTTGAGAAGTCAGATAAGTTTCGTTAGAGCCAAGTAACAATCATCACAAAAAACTCTTAATGGAAATCTTATTTCAACATTTTTTGCTTTACAGATGAAAAAGAGAGGTTTGACCCTACTCAGTTCCAGGACTGTATTATTCAAGGTTTAACTGAAACTGGCACTGACTTGGAGGCAGTAGCAAAGTTTCTTGATGCTTCTGGTGCAAAACTTGATTATCGCCGCTATGCAGAAACACTTTTTGACATCCTGGTGGCTGGTGGAATGCTGGGTGAGTCCCTGTGATGTGGCTGCTGTCAGCTTCATTCACTTCACTCTGCAAAAACTGCATTTCCTTTCGTGTAAGATCTCTGCTAAAGAGCCCATTGAGTGTCTAGAACGGGGTTTAAGTTGATCTGCAGTAAACCACCTGATCCTCTTGGTGCCTGAGCAGTTACTGTAAAAATACTCTTCATAACCTGCCTCAGTTTTACTTGAGTCTGTTTGCATTCCTTGAAGTGTAGATTTGTACAAACTCTGCTTAGAAGAAAATACTTTGGATTTTTGGGTGTGGTTGTTTTTTTTTTTGTTTGGCTAGTTTTTGTTGGTTGGGTTTGTGGTTTTTTTTGGTTGGTTTTTTTGTTGTTGGTGTGGATTATTTGGGGGTTTTTTTGGGTGTTTTTTTTTTTTTTTTCCCAGGAGTAAAAAAAAATCTTGACTCTGGTCAAGATCACTTCTGATGATGAGAGATGGATGAATGCTTGTTTCAGGTGCAAGTGCTTAGTCTTGGACATGGTGTTACAAATGATTTGTTGCTGACATTAGTGAGGTCATGGGCTCTAGCAGACATCAGGGAGTGAGAAATGAGAGGGTGGTTGAGTTCAGAAAACACAGGGAGTGAGGAAGTGAAATGTGATGATGAAAAGTCTTGCAAACTCAGGTACACACTCTCTGTACAAAGAGAAACAGATGCTCACCAACCAGGTAAGCACATACTGTAATTGTTACAATATGTGGGTTTACATTCAAGAGTCTTAACCAGTGCATCCTCCTGTGTTAGGAAGTGTTCCTTCTAGGAATGAATGATGGGGAAGGGAAGAAGGCATTGTTGTGTTAATGGTGATGTGAGGTGCTTTACTCAACTCCGTGTCTGTAACAGGTAGCTAAGAAGACCAGCTTTGATCTTCAGTCAGAAGAGGCCAGAATAAAAACTGATATCCTGTTGCCTTACCAGCTTTTAATATTATTACCAGAAATATTAATCTCTAGTTTTAAAGTCATATTTCTGACTAATTCATAACAAAGGATCTCCATTGTATGTAGAATGGCACAGAAATTGATGATGAGGTGTTCTGGCACTGAAGCTGGTGACCTGAATGCACCTTCATTAGTGAAGCAGCCTAAATAACTAAAGTTTCAAGCTTATCTCTGCAGCACTGAATTTTGAACTGTGTGTCTCTTCATGTCTCAGTCTACTGTTGTGACTTACTCTGTAATGTAAAAGGCACGAAGCAGCACTATTGCAGAAGACACTTGCTGCAATTACGCAGCTTCAGTGGCTTCCTTTAAGGGAAGATGAGCTCATATGGCCTTGTTAACTTACTCGTATGAAAACAAGATGTGTTGTCAATCCCCTTAGCAGCAGGGGTCCAGAATAGTTAAATGTTCAAATCTAAGCTCTGGTGCAGCAGTGGAACACAGGGAGATGTAGGAGTGTCCGTGGTGATCAAGTCATTGAGTTCATCATGGCAGGACAGTGTGTTGCATGCTGAGGGTGCTGGAGTTCTGCTGTGGAGACTGCTCAGTGCTCTCACTGGGAGTAGCACTACTAATGCTGAAAT